GATCCCCACTCAATCTCTTCCCAGTGAGGGATCCCCACACAATCTCTTCCCAGTGAGGGATCCCCACTCAATCTCTCCCCAGTGAGGGATCCCCACTCAATCTCTTCCCAGTGAGAGATCCCCACACAATCTCTTCCCAGTCAGTGATCCCCACACAATCTCTTCCCAGCAGCAGTTTTGTTCACTTAGAGCCAGAACTTGGCTTTTTATGTTTCCCCTCCCATTAAGCTGAATGTCACCCATCTCATCCTCTTCCCGAGGTGCACGAGGGGATGGTTGGCTCTGCCTGGCTGGAATGTTGTCCCTGAGCCCTGTGCAGCAGGTTGGAGGCAGGAGGATGCTCTGGGCCCTGTTCATCCCTTCCTTGTGCCGTGGTAGCAGCAGGCAGAGGTGCCTTGTGGAGGCAGAACCTGTCTCATGTTTTCTCTGGTTGTTTCCTGCCTGAGTGGAGGTGGGAGCTCTGTCTGACCAGCTGGGGAAGGGAACCAGCCGTGCCAGGTGTGCCCAGATGTTGTGTTTCCATCATTCCTGAGGAGCCTGCACAGAGCCTGGTCCCAGCCATGGCCTGGCACCCTGTGGGGTGGGTGGTGCTTGTGGGGTTTGTGTGAATGCCCCTGTTCCCATCCAGGTGCCGAAGCCTATAAACCATCGCTGGGCAGGGAGGGCCCGGGCCAGGAGAACAGCATGGAGTACATGGAGGTGTCCCTGGATTCCCTGGACCTGCGGGTGAAGGGCATCCTGTCCTCGCCGGCGGGGGGTGAGTGCTGGGGCCAAGGCTGGGGTTGGGACTGGGTCTGGGTCTGGGTTTGTGGATGGGTTTAGGGCTGGGGCTGGGTTTGGGGCCAGGCCCTGGTCTGAGTTTGGGGCTGGGGCTGGGGCTGGGTTTGGGGCTGGATCTGGGTTTGGCGCTGGGTCTTGATGTGGGGCCAAGTCTGGGCTTGGAACCAGGTCTGAGTTTTGCTCTGGGTCTGGGTTTGGGTTTGGGGCTGGGGCTGGGTTTGGATTTGGGGCCAAGTCTGGGTCTGGGGCCAGGTCTGGAGTCAGGTCTGGGTTTGGGGCCGAGTCTGGGTCTGGGGTCAGGTCTGGGTTTGGGACCGGGTCTGGGTTTGGGGCTGGGGCTGGGTTTGGGACCAAGTCTGGGTCTGGGGCCAGGTATGGAGTCAGGTCTGGGTTTGGGGCCGGGTCTGGGTCTGGCTTTGGGGCCGGGCCTTTGTTCCGTGCGGGGCCCCGGCTGCCCCCTGGTGGCCACGGAGTGCGATGGGAATGGGGTGGGATTGGGATGGGATGAGGATAATGAGATGGGGCTGGGATAGGAATGGGGATTGGGTGGGGCTGGGTTGAGGATGAGCATAGGGATGGGGGTAGGACTGGTCTGAAGATGAGGATAGGGGAAGGGATGACCATGGGTATGGGGCTGGGGCTAGGCTGAGGAGGAAGATGAGGACAGTGATGGGACTAGGGATGAGGATGGGGATGGGCCTGGGATGGGAATGATAATAGGGATGTGGCTGGGATGGGGATGAGGATGATGATAGTGGTGGGAATGGGGCTGGGATGAGGATGAGACAAGGGATAGGTCTGGAATAGGGCTGGGGCTGGGGTGGGGCTTAGAATGATAGGGCTGGGAGTGGGATAGGAATGGGGATGATAATAGGGATGGGGCTGGGAGAGGAATGGGGCTAGGATGGAGATTTTTTTGGGATGGGGATGAGGGTAGGCATGGAGCTGGAGTGGGGATGAGGGTCAAGATAGGGAAGGTGTTTGAGGATAGGGATGAGGCTGAGGATGTGGGTGGGGTCCTAGTTCCAGTGGGGCATGCTGGCTCAGGAATACACCCATCAAGGGCTGCGAGGTGCTGGCCCAGCCCTCCTGTCCCACTGGGCAGCTCCCCTCCATTCCCTCCACGTGCTGATCCAGCATCCCCCCAAATCAGGGTCGCTGTGCCCCCAGGAATCACTTGTTCAGCCCTGGGGAGAGGAGGGATGGTGCTGGGCCCTGGGTGCTCAGCCCCAGCTGCTGTTCCCAGTGCTGAACTTCCCTCGGCTCCGGCACCTCCCGCCTGGGCCGGATCCGCCCGTCTGTGCCCGTCACCCTCCCAAAGGTTGTCTGGCTCCTTTGATAGAGGCACATCAAAGAGTTCCCCACCAAGAGAGGGTCAGGATGGATGAGGGATGCTTTCACCAGAGCCTCTGGATGTCAAACAGATTAGGGAAGTGACAGCTCGGAAGGCAAGGAATGAGCTTTGTGATTTGTGCTCCTAGAAAAGGCTCTTAAACCTTTCAGATCTTGACAGGATTTTACATGAAAACTGAGAGGACTTTCCCTGTGCTTGTATGTCTTGAAATATCCTTTTGCTGGGCTTGGGCTTGCAACCTGTTGGCTGAAGGAAATTCCTGATGACATGAAAGGGTCTTGTGTTCTGCTGATGGGGTCAGAGCCATGGGCAGGGGGCGGTGTGGGGGAGAACATTGTCATTGCCAGGGGAATTAAAGAGGAATCTCCACCAGGAATGAAGTTAATCTTTAAAACTTTGCAGCAAAATAACTCTCCTTTCAAAAGCTTGAAAAGCAGCAGCACAATTCCTTCTTGCTGTGAGTCGATCCCGCAGCAGTGGGTAGGGAAAGCTTGGGATACTCCAGGCTGAACCAGCCCAAAGGGTTTGCTTCTGTACTACAAACATTGCAAAGAGGTGTTTCAGTGTAGGATTGGATCAGGACTGTAGGACTAGAATCAGCCTCCTGTCACTAGCCCAGTGTTTAGCAGTCATGGCTAACCCAGTGATTGATTTGGATCCAGAGGAGCCACAAGAACATTCCCACTGTGTCCCCCTACCTGGCAGAGTCCCCCCTCAAAAGCTATTATCCACCTTTTCATAGGTTTGTAAGTGTTCAACATCTGAGAGAAAGATATGAGGAAAAGGCAAGAACATTGGAGCATCTTGCTGCTTTCTTTTCCCTGGTTTGTTCGCTTTCCAAAATAAATAATTCTTAGTTGACTGAGGCCAAATAGTCCCAGGAATTTTGTTTTCCCATCTGTGTAATAGACCTCTGCAAATAGAAGTTTGTGCTTTCCTGATCTTCACTATTTATCACTCCAGTGATTATTCAAATTTCCAGCTCTGGGAGGTTTCCTGCAAATCTTCTGGTGCCAGGGCACAGTTTTGTGGGGCAGGTGGGGAGGAGACACAGGCTGATAAAAAACTGTGCCTCGTCCTCGCTTTGCCTGCTTGAGGTTTGCTCAGAGTAAACTGTTCTTAAGTTACTAGTCTTGATTTCAGCACAGTCAGCTGCAGAGTGGCTGGACTTGGAAAAGCACAGAGTCCTTTTTTCACAGGATTTGGGTAATGCCCTGAGAGCATTTCAGGACATGGAATGGGAAGATGTCACAGGGCACACGGGTGGTGTTGATGGACTGCATCCTTTCTCCTGGGAGAGAATCTGAGTTGATTTGCTGGTCTCCTGTACTGCAGGTCTTTCCAATGGTCCTGAAGCAATGGAAGTAGATGGTCTCCAGGAAGTTCCCCTCTGTAGCTGTCGAATGGAAACCCCCAAAAGCAGAGAGATCACCACGTTAGCCAACAACCAGTGCATGGCCACGGAGAGCGTGAACAACGAGGTAGGAGCCTGTCTTTTAGCTTCTCA